TATATATTATTTTATTTTTTTTTAATTTAGGCAGGGTTTCACTCAGTTGCTGGGATCAGCTTCACAATTGTGATCCCCCTGCCTCAGCCTCCAGACCACTGGATATATCAGGTATGTAGCACCACATGCATCCTATCTCACAATTTCTTTCTTTTTTTAGGATGTTTTTTTAGGTCTTGATTTAATTTTATATATTGTTTTTATTATTTTTTAAATACATGATAACAATGGACTGCATTATGATCCTTATTACACACATAGAGCACAATTTTTCATATCTCTGTATATAAAGTATATTCACGTCGTCATCTTATGCCATTATACATGTACTCATTTCTTCTGCATTACAATTCTTAATACACATGTATAACACAATTTTTCACTTCTCTTTGTATGTAAGGTATGTTGACACCCAATTCAAGTCTTTATGCATGTATTTTGAATAATGATGTCGATCATATCATTGTATAATGATAACCATCACCTTCCACCATCCTTGCTAATCTCCTTCCCCCTCCATTTCCCTCCCACCCCTCTGCCCTATGTAGAATTATTCTAATCCTCCTATGCTCTTCCTCCCTACCCCACTGTGAGTCACCCCCATATATCAGAGAAAATATTTGGCATTTGTTTTTTTGGGATTGGCTAACTTCACTTAGCATAATATTTTCCAACTTCATCCATTTACTGGCAAATGCCATGTTTTTATTCTCTTTTAGTGCTGAGTAATATTCCATTGTGTATAAATGCCAAATTTGTTTTTATGCATTCGTCCACTGAAGGGAATCTAGGTTGGCTCCACAGTTTAGCTACTATGAATTGTGCTGCTATAAACATTGATGTGGCTGTGTCCCTGTAGTGTGTTGTTTTTAAGTCCTTTGGGTAAATTCCGAGAAGAGGAATAGCTGGGTCAAATGGTGGTTCCATTGCCAGATTTCCAAGAAATCTCCATAGTGCTTTCCATATTGGCTGCACCAATTTGCAATCCCACAAGCAATGTATGAGTGTACCTTTTTCCCACATCCTCGCCAACACTTATTGTTGTTTGTCTTCATAATAGCTGCCATTCTGACTGGAGTGAGATGATATCTTAGTTTTTATTTGCATTTCTCTGATTGCTAGAGATGATGAGCATTTTTTAATATATTTGTTGATTGATTGTATATACTCTTCTGAGAAGTGTCTGTTCAGGTCCTTGGTCCATTTTTTTTTTTTTTTTTGGTAGGGTTTTTATTTTTTTTTTTTTTTTAGAACCTTAAGGTTTTTTTGCTTTTTCCCATAGCCAATAGCAAAGTAGGAATGACGCATGGCATTTTTGGCTTGAAAGGTGACCCTGCTCAGGGATTAGGGTGGCTCTGGGTTTAGGGTGGATCCTGCTGGGAATAGGGCGGTTTAGGGCATATCCTGCTGCCTCAGGCGCCTGCTCTTTGGAGTTCCTGTTGAGTTCTCCCGGGGTTCTGAGAGAATTGGTGCTCGGAGCGGGTAGAGGCAGTGTGTTCCCAGAACGTGCGTGTAGACTGCCGGTGAGAGTTCGGGAATAAAGAGTTGCTGTTTGAATCTACAAGGCTTTGTGGTGGCTCGGTTATTTTGTGCCCATCCAGACTGCGGCACTCTATCTGATGTGGGAGGGGTCAAGATTTGCTCCTGGATGTAGGCTCTCTTTTTTTTTTTTTGGATAAAAAACTTTTTAGTTTGAATCCATCCCATTTATTGATTCTTGGTTTTAATTCTTGTGCTATACAAGTCTTATTAAGGAAGTTGTGGCCTAATCCCACATGATGAAGATTAGGGCCTACTTTTGCTTCTGTAAGATGCAGAGTCTCTGCCTTAATTCCTAGGTCCTTGATCCATTTTGAGTTAACTTTTGTGCATGGTGAGAGATAGGGGTTCATTTTCATTTTGTTGCATATGGATTTCCAGTTCTCCCCGCACCATTTGTTGAAGATGCTATCCTTTCTCCAGTGCATGTTTTTGGCACCTTTGTCTAATATAAGATAGTTGTAATTTTGTCGGTTGGTCTCTGTGTCCTCTGTTCTTTACCATTGGTCTACCAGCCTGTTTTGGTGCCAATACCATGCTGTTTTTGTTTCTATTGCTCCGTGGTATAGTTTAAGATCTGGTATAAAGATACCACCTGCTTCACTATTCCTGCTAAGGATTGCTTTGGCTCTTCTGGGTCTCTTATTTTTCCAGATGAATTTCATGATTGCTTTTTCTATTTCCATGAGGAATGTCATTGGGATTTTGATCAGAATTGCATTAAATCTGTATACTGCTTTTGGTAGTAAGGTCATATTGATAGTATTAGTTCTGCCTATGCAAGAGTAAGGTAGATCTTTCTATCTTCTAAGGTCTTTGATTTCTCTTTAGTGTTCCGTAGTTTTCATTGTATGGATCCTTTACCTCTTTTGTTGATTCCCAGGTATCTTTTCCTTGAGGATATTATGAATGGGGTAGTTTTCCTCATCTACTTCTCAGAGGATTTGTCACTGATATACAGAAATGCCTTTGATTTATGGGTGTTGATTTTATATCCTGGTACTTTGCTGAATTCTAGTTCTAGAAGTTTTCTCATGGAGTTTTTTGGGTCTTGTAGGTACAGAATCATATCATCAGCAAATAGTCCTAGTTTAAGTTCTTCTTTTCCTCTACTTATTCCTGTAATTTCATTCATCGAATTGCTCTGGCCAGTGTTTCAAGAACTATGTTTACTAGAAGTGGTGAGAGAGAGTGCATCCCTGTCTTATTCAGATTTTAGAGGGAATGCCTTCAGTTTTTCTCCATTTAGAATGATGTTGGCTTGGGGCTTAGCATAGATAGCCTTTACAATGTTGAGGTAAGTTTCTGTTATCCCTAGTTTTTCTAGTGTTTTAAACATGAAGGGGTGCTGTATTTTGTCAAATGCTTTTCTGCATCTATTGAGATGATCATATGATTTTTATTCATTTTATTGATTTCCATATGTTGAACCAACCTTGCATCCTGGGGATGAATCCCACTTGATCATGGTTCACAATCTTTTTGATACGTTTTTGTATTTGATTTGCCAGAATTTTATTCTGAATTTTTGCATCTGTTTTTTAGAGATATTGGTCTGAAGTCTTCTTTCTTTGATGTGTCTTTGTCTGATTTTAGAATAAGGTGATTTTGGCCTCATAGAATGAGTTTTGAAGTGCTCCCTCATTTTCTATTTCATGAAATAATTTCATGAGTATTGGTGTTAGTTCTTCTTTAACGGTCTTGTATCCATTGAGTCCTGGGCATTTTTTTTTCCCTATTGGTAGGCTTTTGATGGTGTCTTCTATTTCATTGCTTGAAAATGTTCTGTTTAACTTGTGTATATCATCCTCACTCCGTTTGGTTAAATTATATGATTGTAGACATTTATTGATGTCTTCAGTATTTTCTGTTTTATTGGAGTACAAATTTTCAAAATAATTTCTAATTATCTTCTGTATTTCTCTAGTGTTCATGGTAATATTTCCTTTCTCATCATGGATTTTAGTAATTTGAGTTTTTCTCTACATTAGCATGGATAAGGGTTTATCAAGTATATTTATTTTTTTCAAAGAGCCAACTTTTCATTTTAAAAATTAAAAAAAATTCAATTTATAAAAAATATACGGCAGCGGAATGTATTACAATTCTTACTACACATGTACAGCACAATTTTTCATATCTCTGTAAAGTAGGTTGACACCAATTCATGTCTTCATACATGTAAGATAGATAATGATGTCCATCACATTCCACCATCCTTGCTAATCCCTGCCCTCTCCCTTCCCACCCCTCTGCCCTAAATAGAATTTATCTATTCCTCCCATGCTCCCCCTCCCTACGCCAGTATAGTCAGTTTCCTTATATCAGAGAAAATATTTGGCATCTGTTTCTTTGGGATTGGCTAACTTCACTTAGCATTATCTTCTCCAATGCCATCCTTTTACCTGCAGATGCCATGATTTTATTCTCTTTTATTGCTGAGTAATATTCCATTGTGTACAAATGCCACATTTTTTTATCCATTCATTTATTGAAGGACATCTAGGTTGGCTCCACAGTTTAGCTATTGTGAATTGTGCTGCTATAAACATTGATGTGGCTGTGTCCCTGAAGTATGCTGTTTTTAAGTCCTTTGGGTATAGACTGAGGAGTGGGATAGCTGGGTCAAATGGTGGTTCCATTCCCAGATTTCCAAGGAATCTCCATACTGCTTTCCATATTGGCTGCACCAATTTGCATTCCACCAGGAGTGTATGAATGTACCTTTTCCCCACATCCTCGCCAACACTTATTGTGTGTCTTCATGATAGCTGCCATTCTGACTGGAGTGAGATAATATCTTAAAGTACTTCTTATTTGTGTTTCTCTGATTGCTCGAGATGATGAGCATTTTTCCATATATTTACTGATTGTATATCTTCTGAGAAGTGTCTTTTCAGGTCCTTGGCCCATTTCTTGATTGGGTTATTTGTTTTTTCATCTACCAGGGTCTTTTAAATCCTCTGTCCTGGACCACAGCTGCTTCATTTGATTCCTCACATTATGAAGCTTCCAGCATCTTGGACCAAGCTGTTACCAGTTTCCCAGTGTTGCCATCCTGCAGGCAAACATTTGGTGACTATTCCTCCCATGATTATGTGAGTAAATATAATAAGCTCCCTTCTATACACACATCCATTTTTATGTATTTTATTCTCATTTTCTGAAGAACCTTGAAAAATACAGGCATATTCTCAACAAAATGTCTGGGTCATATGGCATCTCTAGTTTTAATTTTTTGAAAAATAACCCTTATAGTTTTTTAAATATCTATTCAAATTTATATTTCTGGCAAGGATGTCAAAGTGTTTCCTTTTCTGCATATCTTCTGCAGTATGTGTTACCTACCAACATTTTGAGAATAGCCCACAAGCATGTGGTTATAGTTCATTGTGATATAACCTGAAATCATAAAAATTCTAGAAGAAAATGAGAAGAATTTTTTTCATTCACGTTGGCAATGGTTTTAAATAGAACCTCTTGAGAATGTGCAAGGAAAAATAGATAGGTGAGTCTATATAAAGCTAAAAATGCTTCTGTGCAGCAAAGGAATCAATCAATGAAATGTAAAAGTAGACTGTGGGTAAAAGAAAATCGTTGCTAGCCATATGTCTGATAAAAGCTCAGCATCCAAAATATATGAAATTTATACAGCTCACCAAAAATAAAAAAAAACAAACCTTTAATTACCTAATTTAAATATGGTAAAATACTTAGATTCTGCCCTAAAAATTAAACAAGTGTTTCAAGACATATAAAACCTACTCAAGAATATTAATTAGGCTAACTAAAATTATAATTTACTTTAGCTTCTCTGCTTCATTTATCTCACAGGATTATGTGTGCACACTCTCTGTCCTGCACAGGGCATCCTGAGACATTGTTCAATTCACAAAATGCCAGGTTCTCATTTCCCCACATTGTGCTTTCTCATCATAATTGCCAAGAAAGTCTGAAGCCTGGAAAACAACAACATATGGATAAATTGCAAGATAATCATCAACTTTGAAAATTACTTCAGGAATCAATAGAATACTTTAGCAGACCCAGATGTGAAGAAATATAAAGTAGACCTACAAATTAACATTTAACTTAATTGCAAATATTTTTATGAGCATCTGAAAAGCTGATCATGGTAGCATACGCCACTAGTCCTGGCAACCTGTGAGGCTACAGTGGGAGGAGGATTTGGGCTAAGGAGTGTGAGGCCAACCTGGCAAAAATCCAGCTCCAAAAATCAACCCACCAAAAAAAAAAACCAAACAGTAATCACATTTTTTTAAAAAAAGGTGCCTTCACAGGCGATTTCTGGCAATCATGTAATAAGAGATCAGTAAGAATAATTCATGATTTCATCTAAAAATAGAAGAAAAAAATGGACTAATTCTTTCTGTAAGGCCAGAAATACCAAATAGCACAACAAAAGAATGGAAATTGCAGACCATCTTCCTATAGATGTTGACCCAGATATTCAAACCCCTAGAAAACTGAGAATAACAACAAAAATAAAGATTGGACTTCATGACCAAGAGGGACAATATGTAAGTTTCCAAAAATCATTTTGATAGAGAAAAGCTTTTGGCAGATTACATACTTATGTAATTTATTGTAAAACCTATGGCCAATTAAGACCAGAGGACAATTCTTTTTCAATCCACTAAAGGGCAGCTGTGAACTGTTTTCATATTTAATGGTGAGAACCTAAGTGTTTGACAATTTAGTTTTAGAAAAAGGAAAAAAAAAAATGTATGGTTTCCTGACATCTAAATATTGTTCTAAGAATACTGAATAGCATTTTATACATCAAAAGTCAAATAGCATATGCAGATGATATTCTTATTTCTATAATATTTTTAAGCAATTTCCATGCACTAATGAAACATAAGACCTAAATTAGTTCAATAATGTTATGGGTTAAATGGTCAACATTAAGTCATGTAATTTATACACACTAGCAATGGGCAGTGTTAAAATTGAGGCATAAATCCATTCACAAATATAGGAAAAATAATTTAAAATGAAAGTAATAACAAAAGAACTGTTCACTGCAAAGTAAAAATAAAGGGGAAAGTAAAATGCAAAAAAAATGGAAACAAATTGGGAAAACAGTTAATATTCAATGATCAAAAGTTTGATTTTGTTAAAACCACAATATTCCACAGTGGGTCTGCAGATTCAATATAATGAGGCCAAAATCCAAAAGTCATTTTGTAAAAATTACCCAGCTGACTCTAAAATCATAACAAATGCAAAAAAAAAATTAAATAACTCAATATTGAAGTAAAAATTGTGTGACTTTTATTGAAAATGTGCATTGCAAAAATACATTGTGTAGGATATTAAATTTGGTTAAATACCTCTTAAATTGCTGATGACCAGTATTCCTTATGCATGAAGTGAGGGTCTGTGTTAATGTAGGCAAGAATTAGGCTGGGATTGACTTTTGTCATCACAGGTACTATCTGCTGAGCTTGAGAATGTCTATTGCTTTCATGATAACTTTTTTCTGCCTCCCAGATTTTCTGCACCTTACCTACCATCGATGTTCTGTCTCTTGTATTTCACCCAAATATATCCCAGTGGGTATCAGGTATTGAAATTCACATATATTCCTGCTCTTCCTGCAGCTGAGAACTAAAAAAACAATGCAGTTCAATGTCTTGTTGAGTGGTTGAAAGGATTTGTCCTTGATCCTCACACAGGCTGAAGTGTGTTTTTTATTTTTATTTTTTGATTTAAAACAATGACAGTGGAATGCATTACAATTCTTATTACATGTATACAGCACAATTTTTCATATCTCTGGTTGTATATAAGGGATGTTGGGACCAATTTGTGTCTTCATACATGTACTTTGGATAATGATGTCATCACATTCAACTATCACTGCTAATCCCCTACCTACTTCCCCTCCCCTTCCACCCCTCTAATAGATGTAGAATTCATCTATTCCTCTCATGCTCCCCCTCCCTACCCCACTATATTCAGCTTCCTTATATACGAAAAACCATTCAGCATTTGTTTTTTGGGATTGACTAACTTCACTTCTCCAATACCATCCATTTACATGCAATTGCCATGATTTTATTATTGCTGAGTAAAATTCCATTGTGTATATATGCCACATATTTTTTATCCATTCATCCACCGAAGGGCATCTGGGTTGGCTCCACAGTTTGCTATTCTGAATTGTGCTGCTATAAACATTGACGTGGTTGTGTCCCTGTAGTATGCTGTTTTCGAGTCCTTTGAGAATAGTCCGAGAAGAGGAATAGCTCGGTCAAATGGTGGTTTCATTTCCAGATTTCCAATACTGCTTTCCATATCGGCTGCACCAACTTGCAATCGCACCAGAAGTGTATGAGTGTACCTTTTCCCCCACATCCTCAGCAACACTTGTTGTTGGTCTTCAAAATAGCTGCCATTATGATTGGAATGAGATGATATCTTAGAGTGGTTTTGGTTTGCATTTCTCTAATTGCAAGAGATGATGAACATTTTTCCATATATTTGTTGATTGATTCTATGTCCTTTTCTGAGAAGTGTCTGTTCAGGTCTTTGGCCCATTTCTTGACTGGATTATCTGTTGTTTTTTGTTGTTGTTGTTGTTGTTGCTTAGCATTCTGTGTTATTTATATACCCTTGACATTAGTTCTCTATCTGATGTATGAGGGATAAAAATTTGCTCCCAGAATGTAGGCTCTCTGTTCACCTCAGATTTTTTTTCTTTTTCTTGCTGAGAAGAAACTTTTTAGTTTGAATCCATCCCATTTATTGATTCTTGGTTTTAATTCTTGTGCTATAGGCATCTTATTAAGGAAGTTGGGGCCTAGCCCCACATGATGAAGATTAGGGCCTACTTTTTCTTCTATTAGATGCAGAGTCTCTGGTTTAAATCCTAGGTCCTTGATCCACTTTGAGTTGAGTTTTGTGCATGGTGAGAGATAGGGGTTTAATTTCTTTTTTTTTTTTTGCAAATGAATTTCCAGTTTTCCCAGCATCATTTGTTGAAGAGGCTATCTTTTCTCCAATGCATGTTCTTGGCACCTTTGTCTCATATAAGATAATTGTGATTTTGTGGGTTAGTCTCTGTGTCCTCTATTCTGTATCATTGGTCAATCTACCAGCCTGTTTTGGTGCCAATACCATGCTGTTTTTGTTTCTATTTCTCTGTAGTTTAAGGTCTGGTATAGTGATACTACCTGCTTCACTCTTCCTGCTTAGAATTGCTTTAGCTATTCTGGGTCTCTTATTTTTCCAGATGATTTTCATGATTGCTTTTACTTTTTCTATGAGAAATGTCATTGGGATTTTGATCAGAATTGCATTAAATCTGTATAGTGCTTTTGGTAATGTGGTCATTTTGATAATATTAATATTGCCTATGCAAGAGTAAGGTAGATCTTTCCATCTTCTAAGGTTGTCTTTGATTTCTTTTTTTAGGGTTCTGTAGGTTTCATTGTATAGATCTTTCACCTCTTTTGTTGATTCCCAAGTATCTAATTTTTTTTGTTTTGAAGTTACTGTAAATGGGGTAGTTTTTCTCATTTCCTTCTCGAGGCTTTGTAACTGATATACAGAAATGCCTTTGTTTAATGGGTGTTGATTTTATATCCTGCTGCCTTGCTGAATTCATTTTTTAGTTCTAGAAGTTTTCTGGTGGTGCTTTTGGGGTCTTCTAGGTATAGAATCATATTGTCAGCAAATAGTGCTAATTTAAGTTCTTTTCCTGTAGTTACTCCTTTAACTTCTTTTGTCTACTTGCTCTGGCCGCTGTTTCAAGAAGTATGTTGAATAGAAATGGTGAAAGAGGGCATACCTGTCTTGTTCCAGTTTTTAGAGGGAATGCCTTTAATTTTTCTCATTTGAATGATGTTGGCCTGAGGCTTAGTGTAGATAGCCTTCATGATGTTGAGATATGTTCCTGTTATCTCTAGTTTTTCTAATGTTTTGAACATGAAAGGGTGCTGTATTTTGTCAAATGGTTTTTCTGTGTCTCTTGAGATGATCATATGATTCTTATTTTTAAGTCTATTGATGTGATGAATTACCTTTATTGATTTCCATATGTTGAACCAACCCTGTATCCCTGGGACAAACCCTACTTGATCTTGGTGTACAACCTTTTTAATATGTTTTTGTATTCAATTTGCCAGATTTTTATTCAGAATTTTTGCATCAATGTTCATTAGAGATATTGGCCTGAAGTTTTCTTTCTTTCCTTTGTCCCTGCCTGGTTTTGGGATCAGGGTGATATTGGCCTCATTAGAAGGAGTTTGGAAGTGCTGCTTCTTTCTCTATTTCCTTAAATAAATTGAAGAGCATTGGTGTTTTTGTAGTTCTTCTTTAAAGGTCTTATTGAACTTGGCTGTGTATCCATCTGGTCCTGGGCTTTCCTTGGTTGGTGAGCTTCTGATGGCATCTTCTATTTCATCATTTAATATTAGTCTGTTTAAATTGTGTATGTTTCCTGATTCAATCTGGGAATATCATATGATTTAAGAAATTTGTTGATGCCTTCAATGTCTTCTATTTTATTGGGGTATACATTTTCAAGATAATTTCTAATTATCCTCTCTATTTCTGTAGTGTCTGTTGTGATATTGCCTTTTTCATCATGTATGCTGGTAATTTGAATTTTCTCTCTCCTTTTCTTCATTAGCATAGCTAAGGTTCTGTCAGAGAACCAATTTTTTTTCAAGGTTTAATTGTTTCTTTTAGTTCAATTTCAGTTCTAATTTTAATTATTTCTTGCCTTCTACTGCTTTTGCTGTTGATTTGTTCTTCTAGGGCTTTGAGATGAAGTATGAGATCAATTATTGACTTTTTCTTCTTTTAAGGAATGAACTCCATGCAATGAAGTTTCCTCTTAGTACTGCTTTCATAGTGTCCAAGAGATTTTGATATGTTGTGTCTATGTTCTTGTTTACCTCTAAGAATTTTTTAATCTCCTCCTTGAAGTCTTCTATAACCCATTGTTCATTCTTTTGTACCAAATTGATTCACTCGTTGAACTGCTTATAGAACTTGAAATATTTCAAGTTTGTCTTTTCACGAGGTGGAAGTGTCACTTTACATGTCTCTAAACATTAATATTTTATGAATATTTTACACATTGGGAATGTGTCATGGATCATACTTGAAACTAATTGTATTGGGGAGCTCAATCTATCTCATGGATACAAAGCAGAGAGAATAGCAACCAGACTGTTTTCAAAAGCTTTTTTACCACTCTTTTTGTCTCCCTTGGGCACAATCACCTTATGAGAATATCTTTGACAAGTCTGATTTGCATCTGGAATGTCCGCCAAATTTCACATTCACTGATGGCAGAAGAGTTAGGAGTTGGACTTTTATTCAGTGCTTGGATTATGGTATATATCCTTCACTTCACTCTGATATGGAGTATATATACTGTTTTTGGACTTATGTATTTTTCTCTTAATTAGATAATGGAAAGTATCTTATTACATAATTAAAGTCACTCTCCTACATGACAGTCAATTCTACTAACTCTTATTTCAAATTAAAAACTGAATAATGGTTTGGTCCAAGTTCTATTGATGTAACAATTTTTATTTCAGGAGCCATTGACATTCGGGGATGTGGCCATTGATTTCTCTGAGGAGGAATGGGAATGCCTGGATCCTGCTCAGCAGAATTTATATAGAGAAGTGATGTTGGAGACCTACAGCAACCTGGTCTTTGTGGGTGAGCATAACTTTCCTTCAAAATTCCTATTTATCATTATTTAATTTTCTTCCCTTGAAGTATATCTTTTGGGAACTTCACCATAAGAATGAGATTCAGATTCATGCTTTCCGTAAAAAAGATGGGGTAGTTCTTGGTGCTGACAAGAAAATGTTAATGATGTTTCTTTTCATCCTTAATGTTTACCTTTGTTGGCATGATATACATCCTTCACTTGACATATGGTTGACTTAGAGGAATGCAGTGATGTCAAATCCTGTGACCCACATATAGCTTTGAGGACATAGCCTAAATTCAAAAAGGTTGATTGAGAAGTTATCCAGAAGAAAAGATTTTTGAGAAGCTTTGATTTCTTTCTCTTGTTATCATAGAAGAACCTGTCCTGTGTTTTGTGCTTCAAAATTATCTAGTCTCCGGCTTTTCCTCCAATATTGTCTCCATACATGCAAATTAACAACAAAACACTCCCCTTGCCTTGTGTCAATATTATCTGACAGCTCTTCCATAATTTTTAAAAATATTTTTTAGTTGTTAATGAATTTCCCATTTATTCATATGTGGTGCTGAGGATTGAACCCAGGGCCTTATATGTGCTAGGCAAGTGCTCTACCACTAGTCTACAACTCCAGCCTCTCTTCCATTATTTACAGGAAATTTTTGCACGTTTCTGGAGACCTCTAAGTCAACCCATTGTAATACATTACTATCATAAGTCAGTTTCTCTGATCTTATTTGTACATTTTTTTTTCATGAAAATTTCCTTATCAGAGTTCTTTCTGAATATGTGTAATGGATTTTCTGTGAAATTATCTGCCGTGGAATGAATGTCAAGATAGCAAAGACTGTTCTTTTGAGAGATGCTGTAAGTTGTAGTTGAATAAGAGGATTTGTAAAACAATACATCTGTGGATATTTACAATTTGGATGGTTAATTTTTTTCTTTATTTTTTCATTGTGTCCAGTAGGTTCCGTGTTACAGACTGGGTTTCCTCATATCAGTTAATTGCTTCACAAATTACGATATGCATGACCCTGGTTGATATTGCCAATAATGTTATATGTGCTTTTGCTTGTATAAATATTAAGCCCCTTTTGTCTATGACTTATGTATTTTATCTTGATTGAGTTTTCATTCTGCCCATGTACGTAGAAATTGAAGTTGTCTATATGTAAGTGTAATGGGGATTGATGGCAGTGATACTCTAATGCTGAACTACACCCCAAGCTCCTTTTCATTCATAGTTGGAGGTTCTCACTGCATTATTGAGGATGTCTTGAAATTGCAATTCTCCTGCCTCAGACTTCCTAGTAGCTGAGATTACATGCATGCCCATCATTTGTATATTGATGAGTTTGTTCTTATTTATAGGATGAAAACCACATTATTTTAAATGTAGCTTGAGAAATGTTGCAAATCTCTTTATCTTTTAATTTTTATTGTAATCAAAACCACAAAATAAAAGTTACTGTCTCCAAAATTTTAAATATACAGTTCAGTAACATTAATTCAAATTGTTATGCAATGTAAATCTAAAAACTTTACATCTCAAAAAATATCAATTCCTAAGAAGCAAGGGCTCATTTCTGTCTCCCCATCACAAAACCATTCTCTTTTGTTCAGAAAGCTTTTTTTTTAGTTTAGAGATGTCATATTCGTAGAATTCTGCAATATTTTTTCTGTGACATATTTCAGTTAACCTAGTATACATACATTTTGTAAAATATATAATTAGAATAAATCTTTGACTTCAAAGTTCTATAGTTTCTATATTCCAAATTGTCTCATCCATTCTTTTCAAGGAATATTTGGTTTGCATCCCCCATGATGGCTCTGTTGTATAATAGGGTAACAACACTGGTGTGCAATGTTTTTAATTTGCTATTGATGTGAGGGCTTATTACCACACTCACTCAGAACTCCATGTACCTAACACCATGCCTGCATTTACAATTGAATGCTGTAACTTTTAGTATATTTTTTAGCAGGGAAATATTCTTCCAATTATATTTGTATTTTGTGGGATATTCATACAATTTAAATGATAGATTTCTCTGCCAAAAAAAAAAAAAAAAAAAATTAACGGGAGTTTGACAAATATTACCTGGAGCCTGTGGTTAACTTTAAGTAGTGTAAGCATCTTTTAATTTTATCGTTCAATTCTTGGACAACAGCATGCCCAAGATCTTGTTCAATCAACTGACACATATTTAGGGATTTTTGAACATCCTTATCACTTTTCACTTCAAATTTTTATTCCATGTTGGTTACAAAATAACTATCACTTAAATATTTATTTACCTTTGTATTAATACATAAAATTGGTCTATCCAACATAATATCCCACTTGCAATTAAGAACAGGGATTCTATTAGTCTACAATATTTTTCAAAATATTTTCAAAGTCTTATGCTTTGCAATTACCATTTTGCTTCACTGTATTTCCCTTTTCAGTATGTGGGGATTGATGTCTCCTAGGATGACAGTGATTCTTTGTTTTCATTCAACTCTCTCAATGTTTTCTTTGTGTGTTTGGGAAGTAGGATGTACATTGCCAATGTATTTACTCTTAATCCTAGGAAAAGGTTCCTTCTCTCAATTTTTGCCTCTTTTCAAAGGTTTTTTAAAATTTAAAATGTCTTCTATGTCCTGTAACTGTCTTGAAATATGTTTTGTGTACTATCATTTAGACAGCCCAGTTTTTGTTCAGTCACTTTTGTATGTGTCATTCTTATATTCTTTTTCTTTCAGTATGTGTGTGTCCTTAGACTTAGAGTATCCTGTGGACTACCTTCAGTTGTAATTTTTAGATTAATTCAGATAGCCAAGGTTTGTTTTGATCAGATTTTGTAATCTTGCATTTGCCAACAACAACAACAAAAAAAAATCTAAAAATGAAGAATCTCCTACTTATACTTTGTATGAGTATCAACTTTACTTCACTTTATTAAAAATTAATATATTTGTGGCTTTTCAAAACTATATTATTGTTACAGGTATATATGTCTATTAACAGTTTTGTTTTTATGCTTTTGTCTTTCAAATTCTATTGCAAAATTACTTGTTTTGTGACCCATCATTACAATAAGATAGAGTTGTTTGTGCCAAGAAATGTTTAGAATTTCATATGACTTGTGTTGCTGTGCACACTTACATTTTAGTATGAAGGATTACCTTTAGTACTTTGTGGAGAACAGATCTAATGTTGATGAATAGTCTGTTCAATTTTATATCTTTAAAGTCTTTATTTTCCTTCTCTTTTGAAAGATAGCAGTTGTGAATATAATGTCTTCATTGATAATTTTATTCTTTCATCCCTTGAAAATAGCCCCGAATTCCTTTCTGTGTTGTGAAGTTTTGACTAAGGATTTCACAATTATATAGTTACACATTTCTAGGTGACCCATTTTTTTCTCTTGGATGCTCTCAATATTCTGAGTTTTAAAACTTGGATTAAAAACCTGCTTTGAGTCTTTACAACTTGGAGATAATTGAGCTGCTTGGATGTTTTATTTTTCCTATTTTATTAGATGTTTTTATTAGTACTGGAAAGAGAACTTAAGGGCACTTTACCACTTTGCATTTTTTACTTTGACTGCCTTGAAATTTTGATCTTCTGGCTCTTCTGGCTCGGCCTCCTATGTTGCTATGTAAAACCACCCCTGACTCTTTCAGACATTTTCTAAACAAAGTCTTTAAACACACATTTTCTGCTTATTAACAATTCTTTACCAAATTTTATTCTCTGTGTTGGTTATTGTGTATTGGTTTAGTTCATTAAACTTCTTTTAAATGATTATTTAATATTCCCCTTAAGTAATTCATAACTTTTTCTTACAGTTGATTTTGCCATTTTTTTTCTGTTGGTAAGCAGGAACCCCTTTTTGAACAATCCCCAAATATTCACATGTTTCTTATTTTTTTTTTTAATGAAACAGAAGAAATATATTGTGAAGGAGGAAAGGCTTATAACACAATTTGTCTTCTTCTACAATATAACTCTCCATAGTAAGGTACTCATCTTGGATACTATGAACACTAAGATGATTTGGAAAGTTTTCAAAGTAATTTTCTTTGTACATTTTTATTTGATTTATATATTTCTGCAGTAACGATGGACTTGGATTTAATAATCCACTCCCATGCTGATGTTCCTTTATTGCTGTAAATTCCTATGTTTGCAAAATATAATCAGCCCAGTATAGCAAGTAAACATGATTGTTATTTTTATTTATTTCAGCCATGACTTCTCATCGTCCTCAAGAAATTTCACCAGAGCAAAGAATAAAAGAAGGAGAGGGAAGATATGGAAAGTCGGCCCTAGATTATTTACCACTAAGAAAACAATGGGAAAATATAGGTGAGAGTAAAGTTCAAAAATTGAATTATAATGGACAAAACCAATTAGTAGTCCCTATTTATGATAAAAAATTTGTGGTCACAAGACACCAGAAAAAATTAATATCTGAAAAAAAATCAATCTATTCCACTTACTTTTGAGGAGCTGTGTATGTCTTTAAGAATATATCCACAGCCATTTTACAAAAGGAAATGTGGAAAATTTGAAAAGAAATCTGGTCCATGCATAAGTTTTTAACTTAGCCAATTATAAATGTAGCACTGAGTTAAACTTCCAGTCAAATATTTGCACAGAAAAGATACTTGAAACTGAAAGACACATTTCTAAAAGTGATACTTTTGAGAGTTTCTTTACAAAATGTCCATTTTTTCTGCAACAAAACAGTAATTTCTCCTTGCACACTAATGGACAATGTTAAGAATTGTAGAAAGGTTTCTACTTCCCCACTATTGCTCAATGACAATTATGATACAGATTTCTGGAAAGTGCTATAAGTAACACCATTAGCCATGTATGTACCCTGAGTAATTACCAGTATATTTACATTGGTGATAAAAATTATGAATATAGAGAAACTCCTAGTCATTTTCTAAAGGAAAATTACCATGATGAAAAATGTGGGAAAGTCTTGCTTCAGTTCTCAAAAACTATTATTCATCCAAATATTCATAGTCAAGGCAAAACTTGCAAGTGTAAAGTATGTGAAAGGGCTCTTAATCACAGAGAAGAGCTTGCTCAATACAAGAGAATTTATGGAGAAAGGGAGCCTTATAAGTTTAAAGAATATATCAAAGCATTGGCTTGCTCAACAAATTCTAAACACAGTAGATACGATGACAGTGATAAACTAAATTTAAAGAATGCAGAAAAACTTTTAGTGAAAGGTTACAATTTCTTAAGCATCAGAGCATTTTTGCTGAAGAAAAGGCCTGTAAATGTAAAAAGTGTTGCAAAGCCTTAAAAAAATTTTCAACTCTTACTCAACATCAAAAAATTTATTCTGCAGAGAAGACCTACCAATGTGAAGAATGCAACATACTCAAGAACTTTACTCAACATCACAGTGTTCATACAGGAGATACGCCATGCAAATGCAAAGAATGTGACAAAACTTCTAATAAAAGCTCCAATCTTATTTGTCACCAGTGCACACACCCTCTAGAGATGCCCCACATATGTAAACAAGTTTGTGAAGCCTTAAAAAATCCAAGCCTTAAAAATCACCAGAGAATTCATACTGGAAAGAAGCTCTACACATGTAAAGTGTGTGGCAAGATTTTTAATCATAAATCATCATTTACTGAGCACCAGCGAATCCACACTGGAGAGAAGCCCTACACCTGTAATGTATGTGGCAAAGCTTTTAGAAGAAAGTCACATCTTGATGGCCACAACAGGATTCATACTGGAGAAAAGCCCTACAACTGTAAAGGATGTGACAAAGCTTTTAAAAGAAAGTCACATCTTCATCGCCACAACAGGATTCATACTGGAGAGAAGCCCTACAAATGTAGAGAATGTGGCAAGAGTTTTAATCAAAAATCATCACTTACTCAGCACCAGCGACTCCACACTGGAGAGAAGCCCTACAACTGTAACATATGTAGCAAAAGTTTTCATCAAAAACCATCACTTACTCGGCACCAGAGAATTCACACTGGAGAGAAGCCCTACAACTGTAAAGTGTGTGGCAAAAGTTTTACTACTACAAACACACATCTTGATTGCCACAACAAGATTCATACTGGAGAGAAGCCCTACAAATGTTAAGCGTGTGGCAAGAGTTTTACAATAAACACACAGCTTGATCGCCACAACAGGATTCATACTGGAGAGAAGCCCTACAAATGTAGAGAATGTGGCAAAGATTTTAATCAACAATCATCACTTGACACCAGAGAACCCATACTAGAGAGAAGTCTTATAAATGTGAAGAATGGCAAAGCTTTTAAAATTGAAGATCACATCTTACTAAACATTATAGATTTTATTCTGGAGAGAACTTTTACAAGTGAAAACATTGAATCAGTGTCTTTAAGGATGAATCAACCCTTATTTCACAGTAGTTCAACACTATTTAACACCAGAGATATGATAGCACAGAAATTATACAAGTGTAAAATAGGTGTCGGAGTCTCCAACAGTTATTCACACCCTACTCAGGACCTCAGAATTCATACGAGTGAGAGGATATGTGGAAAAATTTCAGACATTTTTCAATTTCTGATTCCATACCTGTAGCAAATGTGGAGTAGCATTTGTCCAAAGTATGTACCTTAGATAACAGCAAAATATTTACAAAACACCTTGACAAAAACAACAACTGTAAGTGTCTTATGTATAGCCCATCTCTTGAAGTATTTGGAACCTAGGAGGGAAAAAATCATTTAAATGTAGAAAATGGGTAATTGCTTTTGATATTTGCTGAAAATTTTCTTAACAACTTTAGCTGATATTGTAGAAATAATGAAATACAAATATAGAATAGTGCATCCCTAAATGGATATAATTTTACTATAAATCAACAATTACTAAATATTCTCATTTCTCACAATTGGAGAAAACATAATTCTCATAGTTGATTATTTCAGAAATGTCTTAAGATTATACGAAGCTTTAAATTTTTAGTTTTGAACTTAGGGGCATTTAATCAGTAAACTGCATCCCCAGATTTTTTTTCATCATTTTTATTTAGAGATATGGTCTGCTAAGTTGGTTAGGGCCTCAGTAAGTTATGGAGCCTGGCTTTGAACTTGAAAAACGCCTTCTGTAGTTCCTCAAGGGTCACTGGCATGGACCACCATGCCTGTTGTATAGAGCATTTTTACTTATATTTGCATTACATATGTAATTTGTTACTAAATAAAAATTGTGAATTTTTAATGTTAACCATGTCATGCATTTAATGATGTTATTAGGTCACATACTTCCCACTATTCACTTTGCTAATGGAGCGATGCAATAGTAAAATATTCTATTGGGTAAAAAATGCTATAACATCTCCATTAATTATTTCATGTTTAATCAAGTTTTATTTGGGGAATATTATTTATGTAAATTACCTTTGAAATTATGGAAAAATTCCAACAGTTATAGGAAGGACCTAAGGATACTAAAATAATGCCCAGATATCCCTAGTTTGAATGACAACTTTAACATTTCACCTTACAAAGTTGCAGTACTCCCTAAGGGATCTACAACTCTGGAGAGTTGCACAAGCTCCCAGTCAGGGAGAGGAGAAAGACCCAAGAGACTAGGAGCCAATTTGCATATTCAGGTAAAAAGAGGGTTGCTGAATGGGGAAATATTCTCAATGTTTCCTGAGGAAACCACGTGGTCTACAGGCCCATCCTGACTCTTGGACTGAAGAAACCATGCAGTTCCTCATGAATTCCATGGCGTTCGTCACTGAGGAGACTAGAATGACCTCAATTGTAGGAAAAACCTACCAATATAGGACCACCTCTTTAGTCTTGGATACCCACTAGAAAAGTGTAACCAGATACATGTAAAATGATGACTGTAAAAGAAAAAGACACACTATAGGAGCATTTATGCCCCCACATTTTTTATTTCATTCTATATTTTGATTTTCTAGAACTTTTTCATTCTATTTAATAACTTACAATATAATATTTGCTATACTTATTGGATTATATGATAGATAGTATTATCCTGGTCTCCCAGACCCCTCTACAACCCAGTAATTATAAGATACTAGAAACTAACCCTGTCCCTCCTCAGATCTTAAAGCTCCAAGAGCCCATGACACCACAGAGAGAGAAACACAATTTTGATTGAAATAAACCTCTAGACCCTAATCTACAAGTCCTGTTCAAAAAGTAAAAACACAATATTCTCTTCATATGTGAGCCCTTAGGTTCAACAAAACACCACCCACAAACATTTCATTTAACATTATTAGGGAAAATAAATATTGAAATATAATGATAAATTCTAGGAGAATAATATTCACAATATGTTTTATTCCAAAGGGTAAATCTATAGGTTTCATGGTTCTTTTACTCCATATTGTTTTACACAGAAAACTGGCTTCAGTTTACATATGAGAGTTTTAACTATAAGGCCTGGAGGGAAGATTCAGAACTAGAGGTCTAAGGAAAATACTGAAGATCTTCCCTTTCCATGTGCCTTCATGATGTCTGCATATCCTTGATGAAACAGCTAATGAATGCTGATTTCTCATTGCATCTGGCTCAGTGGCTCAATCATTGGAACCCCAATTTACTTAGTCATCTCAAGGCTATCAGTCCCTCCTTCTGGGATCTCACCTGTTCTTGGAAGGATGTAGTGTTTTTCATGGGATCACTAGGTCATGCAAGCTGTTAGAACAAAGAAAGCTTCATTCTGACTTGTATTTATTCAGTTCCACTTTAAACAGAAGTTAGAACAAGACTTCAGACTCTCACCTGTGGAGAGGATGCTCTGCCCAGCACTTCCCAGTCAGGACCCTGAAAACCTGTTTAGGAAAACTGGAACACTGAACCTATGTACTTGGGAGTCCCAGTCTGGCAATACAGTTGCCTCTGTCTGTTTCTTTTGTTTTCTTTCTTGCTTTCATAATATTACTCAAAGAAACACTGTCTTGTGTGAAGAGATTGTCTTTCTTATCTATTGGATCTGACCTGCCAAGTTGAGCAGCTGCCCACATACTTAATGTAACAATCACATGTATGTGTTATCTAATCGGTAACTATAGTATCTTTCAACTGCATGATTTTTTGTTGCATGGGGGAGGAAATTGAGAATGCTTTCTTTGAGTGCACATGGCACTATTAATAGTATTCATAACACTGCTAAGTAATATTTCCTCTCTGCTCAGCTTGTTAGTATTTCTCTTGTGCTGCTTTGTAAAACATAGAAAAGAGTTGCAAACCAAAATTTTTTTGATAATAGAGAGTTGCACAGACTGACTTGGGCAACTCTATTTACCAATGTATGTTATTTTGTATGGGCTCAGGGTACTCTTTTATACTTTTATTTAACCTTAATGACATTAGCATTTATTGAAGAGTTTTTAACTCACAATCCTTCTCTGTATACAAATTTTCCCTTATCATTTTTAAAATTTCTTACTCTTTTTAGGTATACATGACAGTAGAGCAAATTTTGACATTATTCATGGAGTAAAACTTATTTTAGTTAGCATTCCATTCTTGAGGTGTACATGGTGTGGACCTTCACTGGTGGTGTATTTATATATAAATACAGAGAAGTTGTGTCTAATTCATTCTAATGTCATTTCTATTCCTATTTCCCTTTTCTTCACTTCATTCCAACTTTGTCTAATCCACTGAATTTCTATTCTCTCCCCCTCCCTTGTTGAGTGGTTTAGCATCCATATATATTATATATTATATGTAATGTCTGTTTCATTCTACTATCCTTCCTATCCCCTATCCCTTCCCTTCCCTGCACTCCTCTCTATTTAGTCTAAAGTAACTATTCTTCCCCACCCCCTATTGTGAATTATCATCCACTTTATGAGAGAAAACATTTGGCCTTTGTGAGTGAGTGTGTGTGTTGGCTTATTTTACTTAGCATGATATTCTATAGCTCCACCCATTTACCTCCAAATGCCATAGTTTCATTCATCTTTAAATTTAAGTAATATTCGATTGGTGGGGGGAATATATATACAATTACATTTTATTTATCCATTCATCTGTTGAAGGACACCTAGGTTGGTTCTATGGTTTAGCTGTTGTGAATTGTGCTGCTGTAAACCTTGGTGTGGCTGTGTCTCTGTAGTATTCTGTTTTTAAGTTCTTTGGGTATAGTCCAAGGAGAGGGATAGCTGGGTCAAATGGTGGTTCCATTCTGGTTTTGCAAGGAGTCTCAATACTGCTTTCCATGGTGGTTACACAAATTTGCAGTCAGTCTCATGAGCAATGTGTGAGTGTTTTTTTCCCCCACATCCTCACCAACATTTATTGTTGCCTGTATTATTGATGATTGCCATTCTGCCTGAAGTGAGATAAAATCTTAAAGTAATTTTGATTTACATCTTCCTAATTGCTAGATGGATGGAATGTTTTTCCATATATTTGTTAATGAATTATATTTCTTCTGTGAAGTGTCTGTTCAGTTACTTAGCCCATTTTTTAATCGGGTTTTTGTTGTTGTTGTGTTAAGTTTTGAGTTCTTTATATACCCTAGAGATTAGTGCTTTATCTGAGGTATGTGTGGTAAAGATTTGTATAAAATCTGTAGGTTCTCTCTTCACATTATTGTTTCTTTTGCTGAGAAGCAGCTTTTTAGGTTGAATCTATCCCACTTATTGATTCTTTTTTTAAAAAAAAAAAAGAGAGAGAGAATTTTTTTAATATTTATTTTTTAGTTTTTGGCGGACACAAAATCTTTGTTTGTATGTGGTGCTGAGGATCGAACCCGGGCCGCACACATGCCAGGTGAGCGCGCTACCGCTTGAGCCACATCCCAAGCCCCACACTTATTGATTCTTGATTTTTAATTCTTGTGCTGTAGGAGTCTGGTTATGGAAGTCAGATTCAAGACCAACATTCACCTCAGATTTTTAAATGGCATCCCAAGTTCATGAATGTTTCACTTTCATTGTTTCTCTTACTATCTTGCCTTATAGATCTACATGTTCTAAAGAGTCATGAAATGATCTAGCTTCACATGCATGATTTTCTTATGACAGTTATTTTTCAATATGTTTCTGCAGATTATTTAAAATATATATCTACTATTTCAGACTTTAACTAAAGCACATACATACCTTGTGTCGGGAATATTACATCAATAGATCAACATCAAATCTATAATATATATATAAATATATATAAAAGCCTAGATTCAAATGCATGCACATCCACTCCAGAGCTTGGCCCATAACACTTATTC